GAGGAGTTCACATATTTTTCTTCCCAATCATTCAGATCTAACACAAGATCAACATTTCACGCCACCTGCCTGAAAAGTACTTACCAACAAAGGGCCTTCTTTCCTCTTCCAAGATAAGCACGACAGGGAAGTGAGACTACAAGGCACCCCTTTCAAACGACTCATCCTTCTAGAAACTCAACCCCTCACCAAAGCTGACCTTCAATATAATAAAACTCGAAAACATGCTCCACTCCTTATTGATAACCTTCCACCAACTATCCCATGAGGACCACCCGAAGGCCAGATCTTCTAGCTCCTCAAGAAAGCTCTAGATTTAGCTTTCAGACCCTTCTCTAGAGATCACCACCTAAGGATATAATCTCCACTGCCATTTCATCAAGTGCTTTGCTGAAGTGAAAAAAAAAAAAAAGATCTAATACCCAAGGTCATCCATGCTGAGGCTATAGACCTCTACCGCCATTTCTCAAGAAGTACGTTGCCAAAATGAATAAAAGATCTAATACAAAGGTCGTCCATGCATGGCGAAAGCTTAACCTTGTTCCAGACTCAAAGTAATATATCCTCTGATTCTCAAAATAATATTGACATTGAAGAGACTCCAAACTTTTCACCACACTAGCAAGGATAGAGACACTGGATCTCACATTGGTTTGTGCTTTAAGTTGACACCATTGGAAGCCACTTTAACTTTAGATCCTTACAAGAGAAATACTTCAGCTTAAATTTACTTTTAATCCAAATATATTTGTTTAAGTCATCCTTCAAAGCCCACTATTGTTATGGTTCCAGTTTACGCATCTCGTTATGGAATTTTGTTATCGTGTGAGCTCGTTAAGAAAGAACCTAATGATTTCTGATTTTTTTTGTTAATATTATAGGCTCATTAAGAGAGAAAACAACGATCTCTTGACTGAGAAAGTACTCAACACTTTCTCATAAATTTCTTCTTGACTAAAAATTTATCAAAAAAGACAACATGTATTTATACAAGCGAAAAAGTAGTTATCTGGAAGTTATTTCCAGAATCAACCACCTCCTTGTCTTTACTACACTTATTATCCCCAATAGACATGTCTTAACACATCATTACACATAACACATACTGACCTATTCTCCCCAGTACACTTGTCCACCTACTTAATACATCGTTTATTCTCGCTAATGCATCATAATATTACCGAAATGCACTTTAGGGATGTTTAAGAACATATTTACTCTAAATGATTCATTTGTATAGATCCAAACCCTTGGTTAAGCAAATAAGCCATGCCTCCCTGAACTATTATTGCATTTCCTTCAAGTACCGTTGATTTATGTTATAAGCCATTACACGACAACAAGAAGTAGATGAAAGAAAAACATATTGCATGTTCCTGAAAACTTGAAAATATTAAGTTCATTTGTTTTATGCAGAATATGTACAACGAATATCTTTTTATATCTAAGAACTAAGAATTTGTGTGTGGCTAATAACTTTGACATTCTACACATTATCATCAGACGAATTATTTTTCTAAGAAAATTGCGATTAAGAAAAGAAACAACCAAAGAGCAAAATATAACTATAGTTGTTCTTCTAAAATTTTAGATTTTACTTAATTCAGGAAGAAAGAAGATAAGAGAAAAAGGAGAAGATTTACCTTGAGATTGAGAGCAGTATAAGGAAGCATCAATTTTCTCAAGTCCATTTGCAGTTGTCTGACAGGACCAGGTAACTTCCCCCTGGAAAACACAAAACTCTTTGGGATCTTATCACCGGTTATATGGTTCACATTGGGCTGGTTTTTCTTTACAACTGGCTTCACAAATAACTTCTTCTTCTGCATTAATTAAAATAATAGGACGTGACTATCAAAACCCTATCAGAAACATATACCTAGCTTTGATGCTAAATAAAATGGAAGAAACAAGGAAATTCACTACATAGAAAAACCACTTGTTAGCAAAAAATATTTATCCAACACTAGAACGGCAGCATTTCCAATGTTACAGTTTCTCTTTTGTCTGAACAACAAGAAAGCATAATACACTACGTTTGCTTTGCTTTTATTTTATTTCCTTCATCATCTCACCAACCAAACAGAGTGTGGAAGTTTATGAACAAAGGAAAAGAAACAAGGGATGGAGGCAGATGCAGCATTCACTCACATTTTTGAAGCGAGCCATATAAGAAGTCTGGATAATAACGTCTCGCCCAAAGCTTCAAAGATTCCTGCTAACTTCAATGCCTTAATAACTTAACCACAAGTAACAAAGCAATTAACATAACTTTAGCGACCTTAGAATCATAAATCTCATTTCTTTGGCCTCAAAAAAAGCATAAAATGAAAAACAGAAACAAATCAAAATAGTATAAAGATTAAAGAGCGGAAGGAAATCCCTATTTCTAGAGTCAGCGAGGCAACTGAAATTATGCCAAACATGTAAGGTAAACTGACCGATTTGTTACCATATGCTTATCAAAAAACATAATCATAACCGCAATACAAGTTCTTAGAGGTTATTGCAGCATGCCCATGTTGTGAATAATAACCTTGTCTAAATTCCCAATTCTTAAAATAGAGTATTCTTCTACCCAAAAAAAGTAGAGTATTCATGTGAATCGTGGAAGGAAGCCCGTACTCAAATCCACATTAAGTCTTAGATGCTAGGCTAAACTCTAGATTGAACTCAGGCCTGGTTCTTACCACCATGAATGACCCCTACATATCAGTGCGATAAATCCTTTGCCCCAAGCAACGATGGTATAATTATAACCTCAAGGTCACAGCAAATTTCTCACCCAAAAGGCAGTGGACAAATAATATGATGAAGCATGTTTAGACTTAACTGGTGGTGTAAAAAGCATAAGAAATTAAGAAACACATTGTCAAAAGCTAATTCTCCAAATGCAAGATTATGCTTTGGGAAAAAACAACTCAAAGCCACAACCAACCAGAGGCTTAGACATGTTCCCGGTGAAACTCTGATCCATGGCCTAGAGTGGGACGTTCATGTAAATATTGGAGATATTAGTCTCCAGAATTAGACTCAGTAGCCCATAAATTCTAAAAAATTTTGACATAAGGGTTATTTACATGCAATAGTCAAACGTCATCACAATAAGTAAACAAATATATTCATATAATTGATGAAAAAAATAATACACATACAAAGAAGTAATCTAAACTCAAATTTTCTCTCAGGACAGCAACAAACCAAGTCTAGGCAAGCCAAAATATATTAGTATTTAAGCTTGGTCTTCGGGCTCGAATTCAGCTCAAGCTAGCTCATTGAAGAAACACAAAGTTCTGTCTCAATTCCAAAAAGCTCAGCAAAAAGCTGAGCCTCAATGTACTCAACGGTTGTAATAGAATAGGCTCAAAAATGACACGACCAAGCTTGATTGAGCTCCACAATGACACGACAAACACCAAAAGAGAAAAGCAACGCACTCGCCCGCACAAATCCCATTACATCAAAAAAAATA